TTTATAGCCTCCGAAAAGGGTAAGATTTAAGCAATGAGTAGCATTCTAATTATAAAAATATATCAGTGTATAGCCTTATATCTCAGCAAAATGTTTCCATATGTCAGCCAGAAAGAACAAAAGGAAGCATCCGATTAAATCAATGTATCCATTAGCTTTTATAGGTGTTGGGGCTTCTCTGCACATACAGCTGGTTGGCAAAGGGTCATACTGATTATTTTGGCAATTGAGAAATTAAAAAGAATGAGACAATGCAGAACTGTATCTACTTTGGCTGCATTAATACATTTTCCTGAGCGGATCTTCAATAGACTCTCATGCTTGCAATTATTAAGAATGACCTTAGTTCAACTGAATCAGACAAGGTCTTCTAGGTGTTGATGAGGAACAAGGCGGAAATATCTTCAATTCCCACGGCATTCATTCTGTAAGCAAATCAGGATTACTCCAGGGAGTTAATTGTATTCTTTGTAAGAAAGCAAGACCTCAAAAAAAAAAAAAAAGACCCTAAGATTTGTTATTTTGCTCTACTTTGCATTAGTGCTACTTGATGGTGTTAAATTCACACAAACTTTCAGACACGTAATTATACTATTCACTAATTAAACAGGAAAAGTCAACCAAATTAGATATAGTTAGAACAATGTCTTGGCATAGCCCGGTGGGGCTGCCTAGATTTATCATCATTAAATTATCCTAAGTAGACACTGGCATTAACAGCTTAGTATTTATTATTCATCTATCTTTAGTTCGTTTTGACAAATTGCAAAAGATTCTAGCTTTACCATGTTGTGTGGGGGCCTCTGGGTACTTATGTAACCACCTCTATAGCTTTATGTTGTAACTTTCTTCATTTGAAAGATTCATCTCTTTTTCTAATTCTCAGAAGTTTTAGAGTATTTGAAACAATTTCTTCTCTTTTAGCAATAAAAAATGTCATTGTTGGTTAGAATCCTGTATGTAAATTATTCCTATTAAGAAAACGTTTTGTATATGTTATCTAACTTAATCCTTGCACTAACTCTAGGTCCACACTGTTTTGTTTTGTTTTGTTTTTGTTTTTTGAGACAAGGTTTCTCTGTGTAGCCTTGCGCCTTTCCTGGAACTCACTTGGTAGTCCAGGCTGGCCTCGAACTCACAGAGATCCGCCTGGCTCTGCCTCCTGAGTGCTGGGATTAAAGGCGTGCGCCACCACTGCCCGGCTCTAGGTCCACACTGGTATCTCTGATATACAATGATATCATGGAGCGTTTAACTGACTCAGCCATGTTTACCTGACTAAAAGGGGGTCAAGCTGGGCTTGGATGCCATACAATCTAACTCAGGGTCTGGGCCCTTGACCATGGCATTGTGACATTTTTCTGCCTCTCAGTAATCTTATTAGATCATACTGTAATATGCTTTAGAAAGCCCATCCCACTTTTGTTTATTATAGTGACTGTTATTCACACATGACCCCATATGTACTTGGAATTCTCCAAGTGTAAGCAGGTCCGTGAGAGGAAATTCTTGTATTCTCTGTTGTTGGCCATGTCTGCATGTGGCTAGGAAGAAGCTGTTGCCAGAGAGAACTACCCTTCCCTTGTCCGTTCAGTATTCATGGTGTTCTTTTGATGGTTGAGTGCCAGAGATAAAAGTCTCAGCCCTTCCCTAGAAAGAACTCAAGTCAAAGAAGGGCAGCACAGTGTCTCCCACTTGTAAGAAAGTGTCTGATTCCTTAAAGAAAGGGATTGAAGTGCTGCCTGTGGAGAAATACCCTGTCTTCTACACACCTCATCCCACTGCTGGCCACCGTCCTTGTGACTGGCTCTGATGCTCAGAGTCTTAGAGTCATCCCCAACAGATAATCAACAGGTGAACTCTGGAGCTGATTCAGGCATTTTTGTGTCAGACACCACCATTCCCCCATAGGTGTCTTTCTCCTACATAACTCATTCATTTTAATCTGTGTGCTAATTATTCCTAATCAACAGATGGGAAACAGAAGGACAAAGCAACTTTCTATAGTCTGTAGGCCTGAATGATTTTTTAAAATCATTTAGATCTATTTTGATCCAAATTTAGAGTTTCTTGTGGTAATTAGTGGATTGCTTTTTTATTCTATTTATAGGCTTAAATCAAAGTAATCATGGTTCAAAAGCTGTGTGTTCTCCTATTGAAAAAAGAAAAAGAGAAGAAAGGAAAGAAAATCGAATGCCCTTTGAATCCAGAGAGTTGTTTCTGTTGCTGTAGCAACCATCCCAAACTTACACAGTTACAATAGGAATCATTGTATTATCTTATAGGTTACATAGCTCAGAACAGGCTTAGCTGGTCAGTCTTGTCAGTGTTTCTTACTCAATAAAAGTGGATGGAGATGAACCACCATGGAGCTAGAGTAGCTGGGGACTGGCCATCTCTCCATGACATGTCACTGCATGAGTGACCTTGAGTTTCCTCGGGGTATTTTGGAAAGAGAGAAGTCAAACTACCTACCTAGTGCTGCAGGGCTCCAGTGCCAGTCTTCGGGTGCAGGCAAGATGAGCGTTGAGTTGCCTTTTGATTTATCCTCAGAAGCCACACAGAGTTGCTGCTACTACATTTTACCAGTTAGGAGCGAGTCACAGACTTCCCCAAATTAAATAGAAAAGAATTGGACTTGGAAGGAAAAGTATGAGTATTGTAGATGGACAGGCAGAAAAGAGGATAAAGTTTTGGCCATCTTCACAAAGATAGTATAGACAGCCCTTCCTTTAGTTTACAACCAAACTCTGCTCACCTTCCCCAAAGACCCCTAAACACACAGACATAGCACACACACACACACACACACACACACACACACACACACACACACACACACACACACACACTTCATCCCTCTCAGCACTACTCTGGCTCCTGATGCTCATTGTACACAGGAGGCTCAACTGCTGTCCTTAGGTGTGTTATTTCAGGCAAATCATCTGAGCTCCTTTCCTCTTGGTTTAGATCCCTGTGAACCAATGAGACAGGTTACCTGCCTCTCACATACTCACCACATACTAGACAAACACAGGCTAACCACAGTAGACATTTTCATTGGAAACAAAACAAAACGGAAGTGTAGTAGGCTCATGGCAGGCTTTGGTCCATCCTGTTTCTGGTTCTGTGTTTTGGGCTCAAGTTTAACCCTGAGTATTGTTCTCCATCATTCTTGACTCTGCCCTCTGGGGTCCTATCCCCTTAGAATAGCCTTTCCTTTGTCCTAATGAGTGATCTACGTATAAAACTAAGTAACATTCCAATTTGCTTCCTACCTGAAGGAGTTTCATTGCCCAGATGCCTCTCTTCCTGTGGTATTGCCTTTGATCCTTTTAGCTTCAACCTGGCAATGTTTCTCAAATAGATATTAAAAACTTAGTGCATTTTCTATGAATCTTACTACGTTTCCTTCTCATGAGCCAAAGCTATGGTCACAGATATCTTAAGAGAATCCTTTCTGTGCTCCGAGTTCCCTATGATGCTGATGATCGACATACATGTCCTTAGATACTTAGAAGTCCTGTAATGTTTGACAGAGAGACTGCATGTTCTGAGCTCCTCTGAGAGCCTTTTATATTTTGTAATAGTCTGGAGGCCTTCCTGGATTTCAAATGGGTTTTGCAATCTCACCATAGATTTTTATCTTAAGCTTCAGGATTTTCTGTGTTTGCTATCTGGGACACAGGAATGGATTGAAAGTCCTGCTGCCCAAGAACCTAGTCTGCTGCTTCATCTGGCCCAGCTAAGGGGAGTTTGGCTTTTTTTTTTAAACTGGTGTTCAAAGATGTTACAGGTCTGTCTCAATTTAATGAGACAGGAAATAGTCTATACTTTTGATGGGGAATTTATGCTAATAATCACTGTAAAGATCAAATAATCACTGTAACATGATAAAATGCCTTTAAACAGACATCAGTATTTAAATATGCAGGAGTTAACCTGGGAAAGGTATATTTTTATTCTTAAACATTTGTTTTTGTCTAAAACACGTTCTGGAGGCTAGCTCCAGGATTGCTTTTGAAAAGCTTACAGGATTCATGGTGGCTGAAAGCATTTGTGCTACTGTGACAATTGTTAAGAAAGAACATCATTACAATGTTTAATTTTCTTTGTCTTGAATATTCATCGATTTCAGTTTCTTCCTTTGGCTGTTTTATTGGTATTCTGGAGTCCCAGGCAGCAGAACAATCTATAGGGTTTTTCTTGGATGTTTCTTCTGGTACAGTTAACCTTGCAAATGGAAACCCAACAAACAGTTCTCTCAACCTCTCAGCATTTTCAGTTATCCTATAGGCTAAACAAAGATATACGTAGCAGCAGTAAAGTGTGTCTTAGATAAAGGAGACAGGCAAACCTTCATCAAAACATTCAATGTGGAGCTGAAGAGAGAGCTTTGTCAGCAAAGTGCCCATCACATAAGCATGGGGGCATAGATCCCACATAGAAAGCCAGGCATTATGGCACATGCCTATAATCTTAGGTGCTGGGTGACCTGCTGGTTTTGCTGATCAGTGAGTGCTAGGTTCAGCATCACCAGAAGATAAAGTGAAACATGATGGAGAAAACCAGCATCACCTCTGACCTCCATAAACACATTCACATAAGTATACATGAATGCATCCACATGTTTATAATGCATATTCAGACACAAAAATATCAAGCTGTCCTTGGTCTGTCCTTCAACCCAGAGCTAGACTGGGATTTCAGGAAGGACAAATGTCCTGGACAAACTGTAACTAACTAGCCCTATGTGACTTTATTAAGGCCTCTCCTTCATTTTAATATGTTGAAATAAAGGAGACATTGGACTGTCATCTAGAAATACTTGTTAAATATCTTCTACTTATGCTGGGCAGCGGTGGCCCACACCTTTAATCCCAGCACTCAGGGAGGCAGAGGCAGGCAGATCTCTGTGAGTTCAAGGCCAGCCAGGTCTACAGAGTGAGATCCAGGACAGGCACCAAAACTACACAGAGAAACCCTGACTCGAAAAACCAAAATAAATAAATAAATAGATAGATAGATAGATAGATAGATAGATAGATAGATAGATAGATAGATAGATAAATGAAAATTCTTCTACTTACAATGCCTCCTTGTGCAATTTAGTGGTACAGAATTTTTAATTATGACTCAACTCATAGTGAGATTAGCACATTCTTGAGCCATGCAATTTACTTGCAAAGACATTTCTTAGACTATTGGCCATGAACTAGGCTCCCCGTTGACTTCCTTCAGAGAGTCCCTGCGACTGACATGCTTGATCAGGATTCTGCTTGCCAACATCTTGTACTTTTCTTTCATCTCCCACACTTTCCAGTACGCCACCACACCCACCAAGCAAACACTATCTGAACAGACCTAGGTTAAGTGAATTTTGTGTTAAATGGACAGTCACAATTGTCCTCTTGGAAGGGCGGCTTGATTATAGGGAAGAGCTGTACTCACCTGAGTGTGCAGAGGAACCAAGAGAAAAGTGCATGAAATCTCCATGTGGTTGAGTATTATGCTAAGGAATGTCAAGCATTTTAAATGTCACTCATGTGGGTTTTTGTTTTTGTTTTTTTCACATCCTCAAAGTTTCCACCTGGAATTGTTTTTTGATATGCATCAGGTTCTGGTGTATGTCTGAGTCATAACCAAGTCAGGTTCTGATCTATGTCTGAGGTCATAATCAAGTCAAGAAAGAAAAGATTTTCTATTAAACAAAACACAAAAGTTCAAGAGTTTATTTTTGTACAGAAAGTGGTTTGATAATTCATGTTTCCATCTGTCATTTCTCTATTTTGTGCTTGAGAAGATTTGAAACGCACATGTACAAACTCCTTCCTTTAAAGTATTGTCTTTGAAAGTATTTCTTAGGTTAGTTCAATGTGACAGTATTTCACACTGTAGTTGTTGATTTTCATAGCCTATTTAAATCCTAATATTTTAGCATTTAGAATAGTGGTTCTCAGTCTTTGGATTGTGACCTGCTTGGGGGTCAAATGACCTTTTCACAGGGTCACATATCAGATATCCTGCATATTATATATTTATGTTACTGTTCATAACAGTAACAAAGTTGCAACAAAAATTATTGTATGGTTGGGGGTCACTACGACATGAGGGGCTGTGTTAAAGGATCACAGCATCAGGAAGGTTGAGAACCACTTTTCTGGAGGAAGGGAGAATTTACTCTTTTTAGAATCTGAGCTTTGGATGCACAATTCTTCTTGTTCAGATTTCTCCATTCTCTTCAATAGGGAAAGCAATGTTACTACCTTTTTTGAATAGTTTTAAGTTCAAAGAATTAAGTTCAGAATTTTCCCTTATTATGTTGATGAATGACTATATTTAGATGCCAGGGGGTTTTCTATTACTTTGTTGTAGTTTTCAGTTATTTTGGAGGTTTGCTTCCTTGTCAATCTTTGTCAGATGACCTAATTATAAATCTAATTAGTCATTACTTAGATTTGGGTCAGAAAAATGTACCTTTAGGATTTAGGAATTGTAATAATAGTACTGTTACCAGCAGTGATAATTTTTACAGCTTATCACCAAGTGTCTTATCTACTCTCTATAAGATTACAGACATACCAGCATCAACATTTCCAAGATAAAGAAAATGAGTAACTTTCCAAGTTGATAACAAAAAGGCAGCATTCTTGAAAGCTGGGCTCAGAATTATCAGGCACTAGATGTCTACCGGTAACCACAGTGGTATGCTCCAGTGGTCTTCAATGGAGAAGAATGTGTTGTTTCCTGTAGTAGACACTTGGGAGTTTACTGTGGGTACCTAAAGATAGAGACCAGGGTAAACATTTTATAGTAGGAGGGCATTCATCCCTAGTAAAGAATTATCCAGGTCTGAAATGAGGTAATATATCAACAGCAAGAGCCTAAGCCAAAGTTTTATTAAAGTCACATTGAAAACCCATAAACAACAAAATTTAAAGAAGTTCTGTGAATTTAAGAGCCTACTTAAAAATTATTACATTTGTGTGTGTGTGTGTGTGTGTGTGTGTGTGTGTGTGTGTGTGTGCAAGCATGCCGACCATGTGCGCCTGTGGAGGTCAGAGGACATCCTATGAGAGTTGGCGCTGTCATTGTATCGTGCAGGTCTCAGGAATCAAGCTCAGGTCATCATTTTGGCAGGAACTGTCTTTGCCCACAGAGCTGTCTTGGCAGCCAGGAACCTACATCTTTTAGGATAACCATAAGTGCTTCACATACACTATAACTTTTTCAGCTAGAAAATTATTATTCTTTTCCTTTATTTGTGTGTTCTCTAAGATATTTTATACTTACATAAATTCTTTAATAAGTTCTAGATAGTCTATCAAAAAGTCTCAATTAATTTATTCTTTGACTTGAAACATTCTGCCCAAAATGAAAGAATATGAAGAACTGTCAATGTAATATGATACAAATATATTGCCAAGCAGCTGCCATTTCTCAATGCTAGACTCTTGAAGTAACAGTCTATTGATTCACATTCTGACTTAGTCTTGTTTCAAGATTGGCCAGAGTTCTCCAGCATTTCTAGGTAAACAACTACTCCACAATTTTGTAAAGAAGTCTTTTTTTAAAACCCAGTCTACCTTTTATCAAATTTGGTGGTTCTATTCTGTTTCATTTTTTTTTCTAGTTTCTCCACATCACTAAAGAGACATAGTTTCTTGGTCAGAAGTGTTATTTCCAGTTGTAATACACAAGCAGCATAAAAATATTCAAGTATTCAAAACTAGTAACTGGAGTGAATAGAGGTATCTAGAGCAACCCATGAAACACCACCATCAAGATAAATAAACTTCAAAGGTTTTCAGTCATCGTGGCTCTTAAAGATTCACACCCTGTTGAGTCTGATTTGCCTGCATTTCACCAAATCTCCCCTTTAAGCAGGAGTGTAAAGGGACACCAGCTGAGACTCTCACCCACCCAATGAGTAGTTTCTCAATGGAAACTCATGCTGCTGTCTTCGTACAGAAGGATTCTAGTCAACTGAAAACAGCAGACCTCCACCACACTGGCGCTTACCTTCTGCTCCCCTGACTATCATGAAAGCCTGAGAATGTTTCTGATGTTCCAGTTGTCATACTGAATCTTCTGCTGGTTCTTTACCACCATCCATTCATAAAAGCCTACTCCTGCCTTTTCCTTATTTTACCCAATAGTTTCTTATCAGTGGGAAAAACCTACTGTTAACTCTAGAGATATAACATAGGTAAAAGTGGTAACATCAGGGTGATCCTATGCTTGCATAGGTCTTTTGAGTAATTTAAGAGAGTCTTGTTCAAAACACACCATGTTTTATGGTGTCTCAAAGTCCTTTGCTACATCTATAAGAAATGTAATTTTTTAAATATGGTTTTACAGCATCCCAGAACCTAAGGGGCTATACAAAAAAAAGTTCAACTAAATATAATGTAGAAGGTAAACTTTATATGGGAATGCATACATTCAAATGTTGTAACAAAATGTCACATTTAAATTCAAGTAACTGCTAAGATGGGAGACACTAAAGACATCATAGCACATTTGGAACCCTGACAATGGGGTCAGAGTTTAAATGTGGAAAGGTGAAAAACTAGACATCTTATGTTTTAGCAGTTAACAGCTTAAAGAGAGTCAAAAATCATCACATATAAAAATAATGTTTGTATAGTAAGTGCATCTATAGAGCTAAGATAGGAAGTGGGGAATAAAACTCATGTAGTTTATAATGTGTGATAGAACCTTGCCTAACAATTTTACTTAGGGTTGGAAATGGGAATGGAGAAACATATAAAACACCATTTACAAAGAAAGGATTTTTGAAAAGCAATGATAATGAAACATTTTTCTCTTTCTAAAAATCTTATTCTGCCCCAAATCACTAACAGCTGCAGTATATTCTGACTAATTACAAGTGAATCATAAGGAACACAGCGTGATAGGAACCCTAAGTGCTATCAGTATGGTACGTGTTGATTTTCAACCCCGATGCTCTATGTAATTCGTGTTTTATTCACACTGGGGTCATTAATTTTTAAAAGACTTTATTTTTTAGAGAAGTTTTAGTTTTATAGCAAAATTGAATAGAAGATATAGAGAGTTTCATGTCTCCTACCCCATGCACATGAATAGTCTCCATTGTCAATATCTTTTACCAGTGACGAAGCACAGTGGCTATATCTGATGAACCTACACAGAAACTATTGACACCCCAAGGCCACGCTATCACCTGGGGTTCCTGTTTTAGACTCCAAGCATTTGTGAAAATATTTGAGTGTCCAGTGTTCATGATTGTAGTACCCTACAGAACACCTTCACTGCCCTCAAATCTTAAATGCATTGTATATCACTCATTGTGATGGTTGGCATTGTCAACTTGACACAATCCAGAGTCATCTGGGATATGGGCCTCTGGGTAGACCTGTGGGGAACTGTCTTGAGTGCCAACAGGGATCCTCAACTGTATGAAATGGAGAAAGCAATGAACACTGGGAAGCATTTGCTGTTCTCTGTTGACTGTGGTGTGATGACTACCTTGACTTCCTCACTGTGGTGGACTATATCTTGAACCGTAAACCCCCAAAGCCCTTTCCATTGTAAGCTGCTATTTTTAGGATCTTTTATTGGGACATTTTATGACAACTATGGGAAAAGAAACTAAGATACCCATGCCATCATTTTCAAAGAAACTATACTAGATTAATTTGGGTCCCTTACTTGCTACAGGAATTACACATCTTCAGCACTGTGCCAAATTTTAGTAAATGACAAAGGATTAATTATTAGTTCAGGTGCCACTCATAAACAGTATATTGTTATATACCGATGGAATTTGTACTTGCATTATCAACAGAAAGAGAAAATATTTTTTCAGACAAATTTTACCCATTAATAACAAGGGCTTGCTATTTTCAAGAAGCAATTTGGCAACAAAAATCTGTTCTTTCCATTCAAAATTGCAAGACTGAAGTTTTGGAAAAGTGCTTACCAGTGGAGAAAAATTATATTAGGTTTCTTTAAAGATAAGAGAGAAGGAGAGCAATCTAGGATGGAAAGATGTAATAATGGGTAGATAGGTAGATGGCGGGAGGGAGGGATGGGTAGATGGATAGATAATTTCACGGAATTGTTCATTGGATAATTATTGCAACTGTAGAAGCAAGTAAGTTTGGGATGTGTGGGTCAGTCTCAAAGGCTGGAGATTCTGGGAAGACTGGTGGTTGCAGTTGGGTAGCAGAAATCCTTTTTCCTCATGAGACTCCAGCCTCACAGCCTTTGCACTTAAACCACTCTTCAGATGATTGGATGAGGCTCATCACCATCCTTGTGGGTAACCTGTTGCATTCCCATCTAGTGATTGATGGTTCAGCATTCCAAAAGTACCATCGAACAAGCATCTGGACTGGTAGTTGACCAAAAACTGTGCATGATTACCTGAACAACTTTATATATAATCATATATACCAAGAGACATAAACAGATTAACAGATTAACAACTAGTTTATCTTAATCTTTCCTTTTCCAAATACAACTCTTTTCTTGATTCTGACCCCTTAAACTGAAAACACAGGGACCTTCAAAGCCGAGGGAGTAAGAAACCCTTCTACCTACTCTCTGCCATCAAGGTATCACCATGACTGGGGTTCCCCTGTGAGATCAATTTTATGAGCAAGTGTATGGAAACAACATACTGTTCAATGCTGTCCAAGTAGTATAGCTGTCTAAAAAGGGGATAACCAGAGTTAAAGCCTGAAAAGTAACCCAAAGCTTTATTTACGTAGTTAAGATGTAGATTATGACACACAGAGTCTACTTGCCATCTAGAGTGAGCTAGCCCATGAAATAGACAATTTGACAAAGAATTTCATCCACTTTTACCTTGGTGTCCAAAACCAATGGCTATATCACACAAGCAAAGGCAGTATAAGATGTGAAAGCCTGGCTTATTGTCACTTAAAAAAAATCTGTCTTTTTACCCGAAAATATGAACTTTCTAGTCCATCTAAGTACTAGTAAGTCTTTACTTCAGCTTTAGAATTGTCTACAGTCTAGAGCTCTATATTTCCTTACACAATCTTCAGTCTCTCCCCCAAGATTCAGGTAAAGTGGAATCATTTTTGAGTAGCAGTACAATGTTATGATATTATGACATGTTGGCTTCAGTTCCAGAAGGTAAGTAAATTTGAGGTCCGTGAATTTTCAACTAGTCAGTTAAAGTAGTAATTCCTTTTTTTTACACTAGAACTAGTGTGCATGGCAAAACTGGGCATTTTTTAACAAACTATTATGTTCCGCCCTCGGACAAAACTATGAACCAGGAACAAATAAATTTATTAAATATGTGTTGCTTGATTTTTAAAGAATCCCCAGAATTCACTTGGCTCTACTGGGTGTCCTAGATTTCTCTCTAGCACCTTTAGCCTTCATCTTGCCTGTGGAAATTTCTCCCAAAGACAGTTGTTTACTCTCTGGATTCTGGGATGTATCCATCACCATGTTCCAAGGCCATAGCAGCAGCAGTGCTAATAGACTCCTTACCAGTCTCACCAATTGCTACCTGTCATGGCCATGCACTCGAGATCTTAAGGTTTTTGTGTATTGAGCCTTTTGTCACCAGTAACAGCTGACACAGCTCTCCCGCTGCCTTCCTAGCTAAAGAGGGATCTAGTGACTCTCCAGCATCTCCAAGACATCAGCTGTCTTGGGGTTATATGTGTGCTTCTCTGTAATTTTTAAAATCATATTCTGATTAATATAAACATTTGTAAACAATGAAGAACAGTTAAAGAACAACTCAACAAA